CAGTTCAACGCAGATTCGGAATAAGAACCTCTTTGCTCTCTGTTTTCGTTTATTCTAATTTTAATTCTAAGTATTTTCGTCATCTTATTTTCGTTGTGCGGTTCTCGCAGATAGCCGGTTCCTCTGGAAACTTAGGGTTTTCCCGAAGTTTCCTTATTTACGATTTATTTGACAGTAGGGTGAAATCGACTCCCACATATACGAATTTATAGTCAATGATATAACTCATATATTTTGTCTCAGATGTCATAGGTCATATTGTTGAGGTGACTCCTTTTGAAGTTGTATCAGCTAATGGTAAAGAAACTCATAAACTGACGGTGGAGCTTCGTAATGAAAAGTATGGCTCTCTTTATATTGTATGATTATTCATGATAGCAGACGTGATGACAATGATCTAAGATATACATGTTTGTAAATGATTTTAGGGATGAACGTCTGCCTCTGGTGTTGTGATGACAATTCTTATGTATATCTATGTGGAGCATTGGTCCATGTAGGAGATCTTATAGTTAATAAGACATATAAATCTGCCAACGTTTACAGTACTATTCTATATACGTTAGAGTTCTCCTTAATCGATCTCGGGTTTGAAATTTTCATATATTTACTATTGTTTATTCTTAGTACGACCATGTTTGTACAATTTATATTGACTCAAGTGAGGTGTGTTGCTCATGGAGATCTATCCCGTATTTTAAATGATTTCTGGCATTCTAATACTGCAGATGTTGTAGTATGTGTTTTAAGGTTATGGCGAATTGAATGGGGAGCAGGTAATCTATATTTATTTTGACTCTTTGCTATTCAGTAATGTCTGGTTTCTATACTTATTGTTGATATTACTTTATAGGTGGTCTCACTTATGTTACAAACATGGAAGGTGTTTCTGAAATTTTGTTTGATACTGACATCCTAGAGATTCAGTTCTTCAAATCGCAGTAAGTACATTATACTTAGTTGGTTCTATAAAGCTGTGTAGTATATACACTAAAAACTTTGTTCTTCCTCATATATTGAAATTCATGTCTTTGCAGGATTCCAATCATCGATTTCAGAAGTTTTGAAGTTATTCTATCTAATTATTGATTGAAGTTGTTTTTATACAATACCTATTTATATTTAGACCATTATTTGTTTTTGGAAGAATGAGATTATGCATCTTTATTATAATGGAATTGAGTTTATTTTATTTGTATTAGATTTCTCATCTTCCTTAACCTAGAGACTTACCATAGTGAGGAGGAGTTTTAGCAGTATTTGAGTAGTTTTTTTTTAAAATACTTATATAAAACTAAGAGGGACTAGATGTATAATATATTTTGATTGAATTATAATTTCACATTCATTCTAAATAAATTAATATATTTTTAAAAAGTATTTACTATTGCATTATATAAATGGATGCCGAAATTAAGAAAAATTCTATAAAATAATAGTTTAAAAATTAGATAATGCAGGTATTACGAAATTAAATAGTAGATAGGAATAAATAAGTGTATTTTATTTGGTTAAAAATATTTAAGGAAATATTGTTTAATGAATTATTTATTTATATTTTACAATAAATTTGATTTGATATAAGATGACACTTAATAATTAATTTTAGTCATTGTGTTATCACCATAAAATCAAAATCGCAATTTAATCAAAAAAACAATATTTAAAATATAGATATATAATTGGACGATATTAAAACCCGAAACAACCAAATCCAAAACAAACTAATATGCAAATAAAACAGATATAATGTCTTTTTATCTTCAAAAATACAACAAATTTAGTCCTCTCATCCCGCGCAAGGCGCGGATCTAATCCTAGTTCTCTTTTAATATATAAATCGTTTTGTATAAACTCAAAAGTCTTGCCTTATATAACATATAAAGTCCACATTCTTCTAACATTTTCGTCCCTTTTTATCCTGTAAAGTTTTGAAGTTTCCAATATTAGACTAGTTTACAACTTGAAGGGATAAAATTGTCTCAGGCTCTCATATAGATGACACCGTCTGAAAATGATAGATATATTATTTACAAAATGTCCCAATCGAATGAAAGGGATGAACAATGGGTCCAGAAGATGATAGAGTCAAGACTACCGAGTGTAAACTGAACAATATGTGAAACCGATAGAAACCAAAATAAGATCAGTGCTTTCACTAAAGATGGAACTTATTTCACAAACATACAAAAGAAAAATAACCTTAGTTACAAAAAGGAAAAACATACAAAAGAAAGCAAGCAAAGGATGAAAAGTGAGGAAGCAGCCAGA